TAAAAGCGTGTTTTTTGTTGTAGTCCATTACACGCTCGTGCAATCTGTACATTTTGTGCACCTTGCAATGAGTTTGCAAGACAGAGTGAACACCCCTATTGTTATTTTATAAAATCCAGTACTTGTGTTAAAGTTTTATGAATTTTCAATAGAAGTTTAGTATTTTCTATGAGTATATATGAAATTTAAATATCTTAAACAAATTTAAAATCACTTTAATAATAATTATTTTATTTTTAAAAAATAATTATAAAAAATCACTTAGTCTAAGTTCGGAACTTCTAGTTAGTGTTTTCAATAACTAAATCATTTAACACTGATGATCCTTTCAAAGTCATAGAGCTTCTTCTGTCAGCAGAAAAAACAATAATCACTTTTCAATAATCATGTTTAATGATAATAGTCCTCGTGTCTAAAATATATTTATTTTATTGGTTATTAAATGAAAAACATAAATTTTATAGTGTTTTTTAAGAGTGAGTGTTTTTTGTGTACGAATATTAAAATGAAATACATATTGAATTGTTGTTTATACTCCTATGTAGTTACGTAGGGTGATTCACGATAGTTAATAAGTATATACATACATTTTTTATTTTTGCACTATATACTATATTATGAAATACCTGTCTCTTTTATTTAAAGAAATACTTCTATTCAATGATGATGCACTGAAAATGACAAAATCTGATCCACAGAATTTTAATCCCACGGTACTTGTTTTTGTGTTAATTTTTTTCAGTAGAAGTTTGTGGTTTAAACATTTTAATTTTGAATTTCGATCTCATGTCAAAGTTGATAAATCACTTTTAGCTTTGGTATAATAAATTTCAAAGTAACTGTAGAAAAAATAATTAAAAATCATTTTATCTGTCATTGCTAAAAGTTTTAGTCACAGCATTTTTGTGACTTTGATACGATTAAATTTTTACTTAATAATACAAATTTTTTTTTAAATAAAAATTTAGATTATTTCCGGAAATGCATTTTATTAGTTATTAAAGTTAATAAAAAAATTAATTAGCTTTAAGTTTTATTAATAATAATAAACAAAGCTAAAGTGCAATGACTGATAAGGAGCTTGAATAAATTAGCTCAAGGCTGTGCGGACAAAAAACTTAAGACACGAACTTTTTGTCAAAATACTTTACTCGTATTTAGCCTAATTGAGTTTAACGAAAAGTTAATAAAAATAATTAAAATTTTTTATTACTATAAGTAAAATGTATGCGTTTGTATTTTGTGTGGATTTGAGTATTTGATTTCTTAAAATTCAAGTTATATTAATAAAAATTTTACGTTATGCAAATTTGTTTTTATAATAATAATGGTGAAAGGAATTTGTTAAATTAAAATTGTGCTAAAACAACAAAACAAATTTAATGACAGATAAAGTAAATATTATGTGGAAACATGATATATTATTTATTAATATTCTTTTAATATATATAAATAACTTAATTTTTTTTATATTAATATAATATTTGTTATTTTGGTTTATATGTAAGCAATGTTTAATTTTGCGAAGTACAATATCTGATATTGGTAATAATTAATTTACTAAATATTATATTGATATTAAAATCTATAAACAGTTTATTTTTATTTGCATTTCCTAATATATCATCACGTTTTTAGTAAATTAAACACAATATCAGTTGAATGAACTGTTTTTTATTTATGAAAAACTTTTGTTTCAATTTTTTATGATATGTATGCCATTCCCATCTACAGTCACCACTTCAAGAAAAATTCATTACACGAAAACTAATTCTGACAAATCCATTTTTATTGCAGAAGTGGTTGTGGCAGTTGAATTTTAATATACTACCTGATTCCATCATGACTAAAGAGTTTTTAAATATAATTTGCAGGTAAAATAGGTATTTGGATTTCTGTGTTATAAATACCTCTCCGTAATCAAGTTTTTTTTTAAGTATGTAGTCGAAATGTTATAAGTTACATACCAAAGTTATGGTAGTATATGTATATAAATATCTTTCGAAACTTGGTTTTAGAGCTATAGTATAGTTGCGGATAGTTAATATTAGTTGTTATCGTTTTATGATATATTATTACTTAAGATTAACAACTTTTTGAAAACTTCTGAAACCTCATATGTCTGATCCAATACTTAAAAGCATGAAAGTCCAGATTAACGCATATGCACTTAAAGGAAATTATCAGAAGTTGAATAAAGGAAACTTTTTTATGATAGTATCCCACTATAAATCACTTTGCAAACAGTTAACCGTCTGTAAAATAGATTTGGAAGCATTAATTTACTATATTTGCCATTAGCTGCAAGCTTCGAAAACAATCATTTTTTTCTTACTTAATTTTTTTTCTTCTCATTTTTTTCTTAACTCCTCAGGAGACTTAACTCCTGGTGCCTTCAAAACATTTATTATAATAACAGCCCATATTAAAAAATTAATTTATCAAACCATAACTTGAGATATTGGTAAAATTATTAATACAAATATATTCTTGATTTTTTCCAGATTAATTTTTAAATTCAAACAATGTAAGAAAGATTTTATAAATCAATTGATTTTAATAATATAGAAGAAAAATTTAGTTGTACTTGCCTAGTCCCTTACACACCTTCTTTATAGTATAAAAAAATCAGGCAATAGCTAGATTTTGGAATGAATTTAAACTAATTGAACTCTTCATGTTGTAGACTATCTAAATATTGAGAATAATTAATATAATATTATATTAGTTATATTAGTTAATTTTATTTAATATTTTTAATTGTATTTTGTATTTTCTTTTAATTAAAGGTGGTGATGAACCCGTTGGGGCACAAATACCTTCTATGTTTTTGAATTTCATTGGCAGCGATATTGATTGGCGTTATAATACTGAACCAGAACCAATGGCTTGTCTTTCATCCGAAGGTCAACGCTGTTACTGGCCTCGTGGTAAAGTTCTTGGTGGTACCTCAGTTCTGAATGGTATGATGTACATTCGAGGTAACCGAGAAGATTATGATGATTGGGCTGCTATGGGTAACCCGGGTTGGAGTTTTAAAGATGTCTTACCATTTTTCCTTAAGTCTGAAGATAATATGCAATTGGATGAAGTCGGCACAGAATATCATGCAAAGGGTGGACTATTACCTGTTTCGAAATTTCCATACAATCCTCCACTATCTTATGCTATCTTAAAAGCTGGCGAAGAATTAGGTAAGTTAGAGTTGTCAATGTATTTATTAGTCATAATGACAACTAAAGGTCGGTTGGGTTAGCCAAACTTTCTACATCAACAAATACATTAGATACAGGCATTATTTTACCCTTCATATAGCCTTTACGAAAAGGTAACATTAATATATCGGATCAAAGATAAAATTATGTCACACTATTTTTAAGGGTTATTCCGTTAACTGCATATACTTACGATACGTTTGAACTCGAAAACGCTGGTTATATGAAATGAAGACTATATAAAGATCAAAGATTGACATGCATTTTAAAACCAAATTCTGCACTAAAAGATATCTTCATCTAATAGGTGCCTTTTATGTTATATTTCAGGCATAATAATTATGAGCAGATAAAGTTAGAAAATTTTAGCCCCCTTCAAAAAATACCTGCTTAGTTTGCTTGCCTAGCGTGACAAATTTAATTATTTATAACTAAAACAGATGATTCTCATTACATATTAAATGCGACTGTTGTCTCCATAGCTAGCTATAAGCTACCCCTGCTATCTACCATTATCATAATAATAAGTTTTAACCGATATTGATATCATTACATTGTATACAGGCTTTTCAATACAAGATCTTAATGGACAAAATTCAACCGGCTTCATGATTGCTCAAATGACAGCACGCAATGGTATACGTTACAGCTCGGCACGATCTTTCTTACGTCCTGCCCGTACACGCAATAATCTTCACATTCTACTCAACACAACAGTTTCAAAAGTGCTGGTTAATGCCAATACCAAGACTGTGCTCGGTGTTGAGGTTGTAGATCAGTTTGGAAGCATGCGTAAAATCATTGCGAAAAAAGAAGTTATCATAAGTGGTGGTGCTGTAAACTCACCACAAATACTTTTACTTAGTGGAATTGGACCCAAAGAAGATCTAATGAAGGTATTATTCATTTGTAATAAAAATTTCTAACTGGTTTTTTACTTAATTACTTATTTTTATTTAAATCAGGTCAATATACGTACTGTTCATAATCTACCCGGTGTCGGAAAAAACCTACACAATCACGTTGCTTATTTCACAAATTTCTTTATTGAGGATGCAGATACAGCTCCACTGAATTGGGCTACAGCTATGGAATATTTACTTTTCCGCGATGGTCTTATGTCCGGTACTGGTATATCAGATGTAACTGGTAAAGTAGCATCACGTTACGCTGATCGTCCCGATGTACCAGATTTACAATATTATTTCGGTGGCTATTTGGCAAGTTGTGCACGTACCGGTCAAGTGGGCGAATTACTTTCAAATAATTCACGCAGCATACAAATATTTCCAGCAGTATTAAATCCAAAATCTCGTGGCTATGTCACACTAGCTTCGGCTGATCCAATGGCATCCCCACGTATATTTGCAAATTATCTAACCGATGAACGTGATGTCAAAACACTTGTCGAGGGCATCAAATTTGCTATACGACTGTCACAAACAACACCCATGAAACAATATGGTATGCGTTTAGATCGTACAGTGGTAACGGGCTGTGAATCACAAACCTTTGGTTCAGACGCTTATTGGGAGTGTGCGGTGCGTCAAAATACTGGTCCAGAAAATCACCAGGCAGGTTCGTGTAAAATGGGACCAGCACGGGATCCCATGGCGGTTGTTGATCATGAGTTACGTGTACATGGTGTACGTGGTTTGCGTGTAATGGATACATCTATTATGCCAAAAGTAACAGCTGGTAATACGCATGCACCAGCTGTGATGATAGCAGAGAAAGGCGCGTATTTAATTAAACGTGCTTGGGGTGCTAAAGTCTGACGTTTAGATGCAACGTGGACGCTGCGTAGAGTAATTTAAAATTTTATAATATTATAAACAAAATTTTTAATTAATAAATTTATTTTGTAGTAAAAATTCAAAAATTATTGGCTTTCCAAATTAAAATTATATTTCACTAAATTCTATTACTAAACACACTTCTCGACCTTAATATCAAAATTTTTTGAATCTCTAATTGATATATCTATCTCTCTACGTGTCTATGTTGCTATCTTTACCAAATAAACTTTTACCTCTTATTTTGTTACTAGTTGGTCAGAGCTAACATTGACCGATATTCCTACTTTATTTCTGTACTATAAATTTAATAAGTCTCTTATCTTTATCTTTATTTTTTTTTATACTAACTCTAAACTTTAAGCGCTCTCCTTCACTTTTGTCTTTACTAAGTGTATTTATAGAACTAGAAATAGAAATACAAGTAAATATATATTTTACAAATTTTAGTATAAATCTGTACTTTGAAATTACATTTCAGGTTCAATATTGAATAAGGTAAGTAATATAATACCCTGACTTAATTAAGAGCTAGATATTAGATATTATTTTCTATATAATAGATGATATAATTTTTTTTCCACATATTTTTGAAAAATTGATCAGTATTGATATGGAGCTTACTCGACTGAATTAATTCAAGTTTCAATGATTGGTAGTAAAGGTGACGAACTTCATACAAATCGAACTTCTAATTTTTAGAAATAGACACATAATACCAACGCATTAAATACTTGAAAATAAATATAATTGATGTGATAGTCCAAAGAACCGTTTTTACTAACCAAATCTATGAAAAATCTATTATGTATATCCGTCTAATAAACAATTTAACTGTCGGAGTATCTTTAACGGGTCCGTAAATCTTCAATTATTCGCGATACGTTCCAATTCAGAAGCGCCAAAAAATTTGGAAAAATAACCCAAAGTCTAGTGTGTAAACTTATTGGCGTATTGGCCATGCAACCAAGGAATAAACATGCTTTTAAATAACTTTTGTAATATATAATATATAAATATAAATGAATCGTATGGATTGTAGCTATATCTAAGAGTATTAAAAATTCTTGTGGAAGTGAATGCAGCAACCAGGCTTATAAAAATAACCTACAATACATGTAATAATCTGACTTTGACTATGCAGCAACAAGATTAAGTATCCGCAAATAAGCGAGATCAAGATCAAGAATGCTGAATGCCAAAAATATTTCCTATTTCCATTTTTGGCATCTATTTCTATTTTTAAAACATTTTCTAATTCTATTTTTTGGTTCTCACATTGAAGCAGAAGAATATTTTTAGAATAACTATTAAGACCTATTCCTTTCTATATAAACATCGTGCTTGCTTGCAAGGTACACCTTAAATGTAATATAGTACTACGAGTATAATGAACAAGAGTACTAATCTTATTCAGAACCTTTATTCTAATAGTTTTACATAATTAACAATAATATATTTATGATTGTTCTAATAATATTACATGTAAAACACCTGTATTGTTGTATTGTTGCAATACATTATCATTATCTATCGATCCCAATTTCAATTCCTTTCTTTAATAATTAACTCTTATAATTGATTTGTCCGGTCTTTAGTCCACACAAATATTTATATATTATATAAATATAAATATATAAAATGTTAATTTTTTCTTACCGAAAGTGACTTGTCTTTATTACAAAAAAAAAACTGTTTAAAAGGTAAACGGATTCGAATAGCCGAGAAAAGACAGTGGTATTAGAAAATCTTCGCATTTCTTAATTGAACAAATTATAAACGAACTATAAACTAATTAAGAAATTCGAATATTTCCTCAGATCATTGATGGTGAGTAGTTGGCAATACTCGAAACAGCGTTGTATGATCAGCCAAATTTCAATAAATTAAATAAAATTTTTGTCCTTGCCTTTTCATTGCTATTCGAATCCGTCTAACTTATAAATAACTTATAATATATTTTTGTATAATATTATTAAATAATTATATATTAAAAATAATATATATATAAATATTAATATTATATACGTTATATATAAAATATGTATTATAATACTCTCATCGAAATAAATATACATTTCAGACTACAAATTTTGTATTACATACCACATAAACAACTTAAAACCACAATTCGAAATAAATCTACCAAATCCGGAAGTAAATTTATTGTTGTTCTATTCAATTGGAGGTGTAATGAAATTATTTTTATATAAACGTAATAATTTTCTTCATTTAGTTTAAATAAACAGAAAAACTTAATTAGATCAAGTCACACGACCCTCTGAGACTAAATATATGAACCTTAACAATGCAGCACTTATAATGTATTACAATATCATCAATAAAAAAATTAACAGTAACGATATATTTCCTAAATAACAATAAGCTATTATAATAAATTATATTTAAGTTTATTACAATTTTTTTACACATTAAGTATAAATATAAGTAGTTAGAAGCAGCACATCACTTCCAAACAAATATCAATTTTTATCTGGCGCAAGTCTTACAATAAAAATGTCGAATGCAGTTTTATATTTTATAAAAATATTTATATTATTGATTACGATTAGCTGTATTAAAGCTGATATTGGTGCTAAGGATAATGGTGATATATATGTAATAAAAATCAGTTCCTATAACTTTACTGTAACAACTGAAATGCCAACGAAAAATGCTACAGACTTGGAGGCGGTCACGAACTTATGCAATTCTAGTTTCTCTATACCAATAGGTGGGTAACAGCTATTAGTATATTAAACTCTATAAAATAAGGTATTTATTGTTATTTAGAAATTTATTACAGCACATTTAATAAAAAAAAATTTGATTTAAACTAATAATATATAATATATTTTATAGATTATTTGGAAGAATTTAATAACACTGGTGAACTACCAGATATTATTGATAAAACTGGTATGGTAAGTTTGAAGTAAATATGTTATTCTAAGGATGTTCACGATTAAGTGCAAATCTTTTAACAGTATAATTTCGTTAAATTTTATTAGATTGTTACTATTACTTAATGCCAAATTAATTATTATTATTAATAATAATTAATAAAACATACAATACTTACAAAAATATTCCATATTGACCATAATTTGCACTTAACTCTAAATACTCCTCCTATAAGGAATTCAATTAAAACAAGTTTCTTCCCAGTGCTTTATACGTTGCTTTTATGAAAAGTCTGGTTTTATAGACAATTGGGCTTTAAACGTTGAACTAATAAGGCAGTACATGTGGCCAGCTACTGGTGATTCCATAAGCTATTGTCAGGAGCAAGGCAGTAAGTTATAATGACTATGTATCTCATTTAAATTAAAGTTCGATTTAGTGTGTATTAAAGTCCGTACTTGTTAGTATCTCTATGTTCTTTTTATTAGTAAATACGTGCAATATAGTACTTTATAAAAAGTGAAAGTTTTAAAAATCAGTAACTCAGCCTTATAAAGGTTTAATAGCATTAAATCCATTAAAATTCATTAAAGTAAATAAATAATATATACGTCCTCTACCGCGTTTTTCACCTGCGGATACCGAATCAAACACCTTTCTAGCCAAAGCGCTTTCTTCCATTCGCACGACATGACCAAGTCAGCGAAGTCGTTAAATTTTTAACGTCAATGTCGCGGTATAGCGACATTGACGCGTAAGGGACCATAGATCTTCCGAAGAATTTTTCTCTCGAATGCTCCTATCACTTTCTCATCACTATTGGTAATTGTCCAAGCTTCTGCACCATACAGCAGGACAGGCATGATAAGAGATTTGTAGAGCGTGATTTTTGTTTGTCGTGAGAGGGCTTTATTTCTCAATTGCCTACTTAGCCTGAAGTAACATCTGTTGGCAACAGTGATTCTTCGTTGAATCTCTAGGCTAACGTCATTTTTTGTGTTAGAGCTGGTTTTTTGTACTACATACGAAAAAAATTGCTAATGACAAAACTACAAATTATAAAATATTGTTAATAAGTGAATTAAGGCAGTTTGCAGTGGTAAGAAAGAAACACAATTTGCATAACATGTAAGATACATAATATATGTTAGACATCAATAATATCTTGTATTGATCTTCACATGGTGTTCTGGAGTCTTCAGTATTTAAGTGAAATCATCTTTCTCCACTGAGATGCAGAAAGAACAAATCATTTTATATTAACTGTTAATATATTATATTATTATAGATTGGACAGAACTAGAGAAAATGTTCAAATTAAGAAAACACTGAGATCTATATTATATTAACTGTTAATATATTATATTATTATAGATTGGACAGAACTAGAGAAAATTCGCTTTGTATAAAAATTTATAATTTTAAGCAAACTTTAACAAATTTGTAATTTCTAAAATTAAATAACTACTTGATATTTCAGATTTATATTTTTTAATTATAAATTTATACAAATTTAAATTTTTATATTTATTCAGAAAATGAGGTAAATGCTTGTGTAAGAACATATGCAATAGCAAAATGTCTGATGATACGCGCTATAGTCGATGCCAGAAATAAGCCGGTGGTATAAACTATATTGGAATTTTACATATAAAATTCAAAATTTAAATAATTAAATTTATAAGAATTATATTTATTATAATTCAAAATTATACAAAATCAAATTAATGTGATTTACTTATTTTAATTATGTATTTGAAATTAATAAAATTGTAAATACAAATTCTAAGTTCTTATTATTTTAATGTTCTTAAAAAGGAGCTGAACAAATTATTATTTCTTATTATATATATTTTTTATATTAGTTATTAATAATATTGTCCACTGTTAGTCTTAATTAAGTCCATCCTATCAACCGTAGCAACTTTTTGAATCAGCGTCGTTCCGTATCTATTTACCATTCAAGTCTATGTGTCAGGAGCAGATCTTTTTAAAATACAATATTAAAACAGTTAACGTTGCTGTCTATCGTTAATGACTAAATTAATTTTTAAGTAATTGACATTTTATGGAACGATGGTTTAAATTTAGATGTAGACAATTCATACTGTAAAATTATTTTTTTGTATACTACACCTAAAATATAGAATTTTGTACTAGTTTTTTTTTACCTTTGTTTATATAAAACCAAAATAATATTTTTTATAGACAAAGAAAATGATTTGATTTATCTAGTTTAATGCAATGTTTTATTATTATTATGTTGAGACTAGTTGAGTTATAGTACACTTGTGTGAGCACTTTTACTCTCTATTAACACCGAGGTTTCTTTGTAACCCTTCTACGCCTTGACTGGATTATTGTTAATCACTTCATCAGAGTACGCAATAATTGACCTCTGATCTGTATACCTCCTCGAGGAGCCTGTAATCATTTTGAAATTCGATTGCACAATGTTGGTAAGCTTGTCAGTTTTCGTAAATAATCAGGGCTCTATATTTTATGATTAATCGGATTAATCTTCAGATCCCTGAGGATGTCATTTAAATTTGCTATGTTTATGGGAACAAAATTAACCGTTCAAACTAAGGTTTGAAAATATTTATGTAAAATTTTTATCAAAATTGGGCAAATATATACGCTTTATTGCAAAAAGTATAATATTTTGACAAAAAGTATAAATTACAGTAAACTGGATATGAGATTCCACATTTTTATTATATTTTCTATGTATATTTAACCGTTTAGGTTAAATAAACTTTATATGTAATATAATAAATTTATTTGTAAATAATAAATTTATTTTTATTTAAATTTATATATTTGAAATGAATTATTTTTTTATAACGATTAAAGATATATTTAAGTATGAAAAATAAAATATGATATTAAATATGAAAAACATAATATCTTATCGATGTTACATATATTAATTAACATATCAGTATTAAGAGTATTTATGAGTTTACCTTAATTTTCATTTCATTGCTTACAAGACTATCTGCATATATTTTTATAAGAAAGTATCATATAATTTTAACTTTTTTTAATAAATTTCTAGAATTTGGAAACTGCATTGAAGTTTTTTTTTACCATTGTGAATATATTTATATAAGTTAATATTAAAATATAGTTTACTGGTTATACTCACTAGCATATAAGAGTTTTAAGCAGATTGACGAAAACTAATCTGCGACTTCAATATCAAAATGATATTATATTACATTGCATTGAGAAGCTACAGAAAAAAACCTTGGTGGGTCCAAGTACTTTTAAAAACCTTAAGGTGAGCGCACCACAATAATGATTGAAAAATATATAATTGGTTATTCTCTAAATTATTTATTTTCTATTTGATAACTAAAAATTGACTTCGGGGGAATCATTTTCCAGATAAAATGCAAGATTGACAATAATTTTATTAATATTATAGTCATGACATAATACATTAATAAAAAACATATTTATTGAGACTTAGCCTTTCACGTCCCTAGTTACATGATTATATAAAGCTCAATTTTGTGCTATTATGATGAAGCTAGAGTATATAAAAACATATGTAATCACAAACCAGATTAATCGACATTTTAAATGAATAACTATTGGACCATTAATAAGCATCAACAAAAGCCAACTATTTATATAAAGAGAATAGTTTATCATTCATGTATATCTAATGATATACCTAATAGGAATATGTAATCCTTTCAAATGTTCCTGAAACTTCTTGTAAGATCCTTGACTAATAATATTTTTAGTATTAAAGTACTTCCAATGATCAAATATTATTTATTATGGTTATATTTAAATTACTTTTAACGTCCGATCACTAATAGTACAGTACATTCGATAGCTCTAGTAATCTGTTCATACAGTTATGCTTTAATGTTGTCTTATGTCCTTTTATAAGTATTATTTCATATATACACTTATGTGCTCAAGAAAATATGAAATTATGTGTTAAAGTTTTATTTATATTCCGAAATGAAAAAAAAATGTATACATAATTCTCATTATAAGTTATAATAATCATTTGACATATTTAAATTATATTTAGAATACAAATAAATGCGAAGTTTACAAAATAAATGCACAGTTTATATAATTTCGATCTTGGTTCAGATATAAATGTCATAATAAAACTGATTGAAAATATTAGTTTTAATCCGAAGTAATCTTATGCTAATTAACATAATTAATTACAGCTGTTGTAAGATTAATTAAAATATAATTACTTATATAAATAACATCATTGTTTTAAGAGAATTAGAAACTAGAAAAATTTTACTAATGTATGTTGTTACAGAAATTAATTATTAAAAATATATTTAAAATATTTTTTTAGACAATAACAATAATATTTTATGAATATTAGAAACTAAATTTGAATAATTAAAATAAATTACAAAACTAATTAACTATATATTATATTATGAAATAATGTATATATTCGTTTGCATAATCGTTAAAATAATCATAAAAACAAAATCATTAATAATTTTAAGTTCGATAAAAGCTTCTATAAAATAATGTTAATAAACTTTGTGCGATTTAACTTAATTTATTGAGAGAAAATAACACATTTCCGCATGTCTATTTGAGTACTTAAAACTGAAACAACGTAGCGTTTAATTAATAATCATGGATGCAACTAAACAAAATCGTTTGTATTTAGTAAATTACGCGAGATTATCCTATTAAATCCAAGTATAATATTAAATTGTAAAAATTGTGTATAGCGTCTAGTTGCAAGTTTTTCATTAAAATTGTTAAAAATATATATGTAAATAAATACATTTAAGAGTATATATTAAATTTAATTGTTTGCACTACAGCTTCCGGCGTGACTGTTTATATAATCCATATATCCAGAAAAATAAATTCGCTTCATTTTATTAAAAGGAAGCTGACTCTGGTTGCTATTGTAATTAATCGTAATCAACTATTTAAGCTAATTATTGATTAATGAATTTCATACAAAGCTCTTCGTATATGGTACAACCATAAAATTGTGTATTAAAAATGATTGGTCTATAACGCCTGCGTGAAATGTTTTTAAAATTCATGTTTCCAATAGAACCATTCAAATTTAATTTATTGTAAGAGAGTCGGAATTATTGATTTTTGTTATATTATTCTATTAATTTTGGTATATCTTATTTCTTTTCTGTATAAAAATCACTTTTAATTGAAATGGTTTCTATGAGTCCTGATGAAAAGAAATATTATTATTTATTTTTACAATTTTACAGTCGTGATGTTATCATTTCAGAATTTGTTCAAAGCAGCATCCTTATATGTTATTCCTTAAATGAGGTTAAATGCCGGATAAATAGACAATCAGATATGCATGTAAGATATTAGTTCATTAGTACTGAGTAAACATACTAGATTTTTTTATATCCGTTGTGAAACACTGTTGTTATTATTTTTGTTATTCTCTCGAAGGAGGTAAGCGAAATTTGATTGTTTAAAAATGAGTGAATATAGGAGAGATATCTGGCAGCTTCTGGAACGGTCACTTTGTATGGTTACAATTTTTAGCTAGGATAAGCACCACACTGAAATGTATTTCTTTACTGATTATTGCTGACGATATTGTCATTTTCTTATATAAATCATAAATCATTATAGATTGCAGCTAACAGTTTTTCCGACTATTTACAGCTGTTTTCTAAAATAGAATGTTATTATAACAATTATTTGTGGCTTCGACTTTAGTCAATTAAAATTATTATTCCATCGTATCTGTTATGCTTTCAAATTAAAAACTCGCTTGGATTGCAAGAAATATCCGTTATAAAATTGAAGCTTATACCAAATTACTCTTTAATAATAACGAAAGCAATACATAATCAGAATCAGAATTTCTCCAACATTTCATTTCACGTATTTTGTTCTATTCTTTCTCTAGCATCTATAATATTTTCATCAGCGTCCATGCCGCAAATTGTGCTATAATTGAGCAACCGATTTAAACGTTTCCCAATTTGTTTAGGATATTGTTTATTTCGTATACGATATTCCTTTGACTGATGTTCGACAGCACCATTTTCAAGTTGATATTTGCAAAGCGTATGTAATGGTTTTACGAGTATATCACGTAAATCAGGTCTTCCCTCGAGAACAGCTAAACTTTGTGCAGCTGTTTCTAGTGTGCTCAAGCAACCTTCTGTGGGTTGAGTACGTATAATATAATCGCTAACGCCCACAGCTATTAATTTCACTTGACGCATACTATGTAAAGCAGGACTACTGGCATAAATTGATTTAGCCTGTGGCCAAGTACCATCTATCAATACTAGCGTGTATTCTGCATGCGATTTATTGGCAGTAGCTGAAGCGATTGTCTCAATTGCCACAGAACCTTTGCTCGGATATAAAAGTAATGAATTAGGTGAGCTCAATATTGGTTCTAATTCGGCATGATTTTTTGCTGAAGGAAACCGTTTGCCCTTATAGACAGTGCATTTGCCTGGTGCTAAGCCAAGTTGTAGCATTAATGCAGTACGCAGTGAGCGTTTTTCCTCAGCTGGATGTTGTAATATTACAATAGATGATTTAGTTTCTATTTTAGGGTTAGGCAGTGAAACACACCAGCATACCACCATTGGTCGTCTATTTAAAGGATATTATTTAAAACATTAGAACATATGAATAAAAATAATTTAGTAAACTTACTTGCATTGTTCACATTTACTACGTCTATCAGGTGGATCGGTTGATATGCTGCAAAAGTCCTGCCATAATTCATCATTCATTGGCATTAGTAAAAAGTTGTTATTGTGGTTAATTGAACACAAAAATTATCTCTTGGAAAAATTTTACTAGAATATGAAAACGTGAAATGTTGTATATGAGAACAGCTGTTTGCATGAATACATAATGATACAGCGTGAGCCATATAAACATACATGTATGTATAATCTTTTGGTGGTGTGTAGCTGCAAAGAACAACAAAAAGAGTCATTCAAATGCAAAAAATAATTCTAAAAATTATTTGAAGAAAAATGACTTCTTCAATTGGTATGAGTCAATTTAAACGTGCACATTACAACAACAAAAATAATAATAGCGGTAGTAGTACCCAGAACCATCTTATCCCTCAGTTGGAATAGGAACTACCTTTAGGACCATATTGTTCTTCTTCATACCATTGGGCCATAGTGGTTACAGAATCTAGACATTTTTATCGTGATTTCCTGACGTGAAGACTTAATACCACGGTGTTCAAAAACATACGTATTGATACAAAGCCTTAATCAACGCCCCATTGGAATAGCCTGCTCTATTCTGCCGGTACCAATGAAGATATTTATGTAAGTCATATCTTCCACCTTGGTGCAATGCGAGGCCCATTTTAAACCTCCTCTGCTACAATTTGGGCTGTAGCCACTACGAATCCAACACCAATGGTCAGAGCAGTCGAAGCTGCGGGCCACTGACCGCCGTAGTACCGGATCGGATCATCTCTGGTCAGATGTCGCGAGTGCCGTGTTCACTCACTACCATATGCACTTCTTACATAAGAGCCAGACTGGCACTGGGGGATTTAAGTCGCCTCCGCGGATGAATTCTTTCCCCTATTCTGCAGGGGACCATAGTGGTTACAGTTGTACCTAACTAAGAGATTCTGTTTAAAGGTGAGTTTCGCACCTCCAAATCCGTTGTACGTGCTGCCGAAGCAGGTGGATTCGCTGTATAAGTACGGGTACCACTTGGAGACTGTAATCCATCGGATTTAGAATCATGTTTTATTTCAAGAAAATAGTCCAGATGATGAGTTCCAAGTGCAATGTCAGTCCTGTTAGCTTTGCACTTAATAACAGCTCATTTTTAAATAGGTCGCTCCTAACCTGGGGAACAGACGCCTTTTGCAACCGGTCATTAGACCATACTGGCAAAGGTGGCAATACCAGAGGAAGACCACCGCAGGCAACGATAAAAAAATCGTTAAACTACTGAACCTTCTCACCACGTCCAGGTGGCAATTCCCGAGGAGGGCCATGTTACGTAGACGATAATAAAATCGTTAAACTTCGGATTTATTCTAGACCGCCTAAGGCGGTCCTCAGGAGGCTTAATTCTTACTGAAGTTATACACCTTAAAAATTTGATTAATTAAAAATTTTGGGCAATCAAAAGAAAAGAAAAATTTGTTTAATGTGGGTTCATTGCCTGATAAATGCGGACTTTTAGAATGGGAGTTTTATGACTGTATTAATTAACAATGCAAACCATAACTTTTTTCCAAATAAGTTAATGTAATAGTTACTTAATTTTTTTGTTAGAATATACTTTACCTGTTATCGTAATTCCTCTGTCATAATCATTCTGATAATTCAATACTCCAATCATGCTTTAAACCATAAACTCCGCAATTACTTTCTATCTATGTCAATGAGATCCAAGTGTTTTTTCGTTTATAATCGCTCTACAATCGAGGTCACTATGATCTAGAACGTCTAGTTTATAATTGATTTAATATATATTTTTGCTATTGATGGCTTACAGACCGGTGGCTGCTTTTTGTTTCTATTTATTCTAATATGGTAGTTTCAATTGATTGAAGCATCACATGAATAAACACCAAGAATAACGTAATATACATAAATTGAGAATAATATACTTACAATTGTTATTGATCTCATATTGAGACTATTATGGTGTTGCTTGTGCATTTCAAATAAATACTATATTGTATGTACTATATTATTAAGTGTTATCATCAACTGTTGAGTCCCAATCTAATTTGCAAAATCCCATAAGAGCGAACATTTTTTCTCGAAAGACTAAAACTATTTTATAACAGTTGGCATCCGATAGAAGTGAAATAAATCTGGAGTGATAATAGTCGCAAATAAATAAATGCTACACACTCACATTGAAATGAATTTGACGAAACACCCTGCAAGCATATTCAGCTGATGTTTTAGAATCCACAAACCACAACAAGTTGTCAAAACGGATTTGATCTCATTGAGATTATTTACATATTCCAAATTAATTGTTTGTGTTTTTACTTAGTTTTAGACTGTAATAATTTAATATAGTCGTAAGTAGTTAAAGTATGAATAGTTTAGGATGGAATTTAATATTAATGAGAGGTTGCTTCTGCTCAAAGGAGACAATTACCATTAAAGGTAGCAAATACATAATCAGAGATCGTTTAGCACAGGGGTAAGTTAAATATTAAATTAACTCTTATCTCAAAGCGTAAAACATACATGTAACAAAAAATATCTTTTATACTATCAGCGGCTTCAGTCTCATTGACCTTGCAGAAAGTGATGCAACTAAACGTTTGTATGCTATAAAACGGATTACGTGTCATTCCATCGAAGACCAAAATATCGCATTGCGTGAAATAGAAAATTGTCGAAAAATTGATTCTGAAAATGTTATTAAAATTGTTGACTACGAATTGAAAGGTTCAGCTGATATTGTCATAAATACAACAAGCACTTTGTATATTGTCTTGCCGTTCTTTAAAAATGGTTCATTATTCGATCACTTGCAATTGCGTGCACGTAAACAAGATAACATGCCAGAAGGACAAGTGTTGCAAATATTTTTGGGTATATGTGAAGGAGTTAAGGCCATACATGAAACAAAACCGGTACCATTAGCGCATCGTGATTTAAAAACTGCTAACATTTGTTTGTCTGATACATTTGAGCCGATTATTGTAGATTTAGGCTCTATGACAGAGGCGAGGTTGCAAATATGTGGCCAAACAGAAGCGCAAAGATTGCAAGATGAGGCTGAGGAAAGAAGTTCTATAGTGTATCGAGCACCTGAGTTGTTCTCCGTGAAATCATATTGCACTATTGATGAACGCACAGATATATGGGTAAATTGGTAATAAATATAAATAATTATTGTGTATTATTATTATGAATTTACTTGAAGAGTCTTGGTTGCGTTTTATATGCAATATGCTTTTTTCATTGTCCGTTCGATCCAATTTATGAGAAGGGTGATAGTGTGGCATTAGCAGTACTTAGTGGTAATATAAACATTCCAGATGATTCCATTTATTCTCAAGTAAGTTTCTATTTATGTCTACAATAACACAAAAGACGCAAATTTTAAATTCACTATCGTTCAAGGATATGCATGAGCTTATTGAATATATGTTACGCATGGACCCTATGGAGCGTCCCTTTATATACAGTGTTATAGAAAAAACACATGATCTTATACAAAAGTACGACCAACGCGTTTAGCAGGCAAATATACTTATAATCCTAGATAAGGTATTTTGTAGTTTTATTAAAAGCAAATTTTTTTTGTATGTGCAAATATGTGTGTTTATATATCTACTTAATAGTATAAAGTTTATGTTAGCATTTTAAATTTTTTATGTAACTTGACTTGTATGTTTGCATTTTATAATAAAAACTGCTCAATGTTCATCACGTCCTAAACCTGGGCAATTACTCTCTAAATCATTCTTGTCATTGTATCGAACACCACACCAATAGCAAAACAAATATGAAGTACGCAAGTAACTGGTCAGCAAATCAACCTTCTCAGCAACTGTATATTGTGCGATATCTTCATCATCTGACGCACTTGACTGAGTTTCTTCTACATTGTCTTCTGGAGAATCAGTTTTTTCGGTATCACATTCCGGCCAAAACCAAGCAATATCTGGTTGACTTATACGAGATTGCATATCCAAATTGGCGCAAGTAGTTTGACAACGTCTAAAAAAATACAGTATGAAAACTAATATATGACAAATTTATTTTGTAATAATTGGTTTTACTTTAAAGCAGTTTGTAAATAACGTTCTTCAGCTTTCTCTGTGACACGTTTTCGATAATCAGCAGCGGTTGTCGTCGCACCAGCTTCTTCTTGTAAACGTTGCATCATGAGTTCACATCGCTTCTCTTTTAATTCTTTTAATGCAGCAGCTCTACCTAGACCACTTCGGTCTTCCTTAATACTTATACCAATAGGTTCTATTAGCTTTTTACTTTCATTCTCGTTATCTACATTGATTTTTCCTAGACTTTGACCAGGTTTGTAACCCATTTTCGCTAACAGCTGATATCCTTTGTTGTCAGATTGTAAAGGTCGTTTTAATGATTCTTGTAGGCTCTCATTAGTGTAAGTGGACTTAAATCTTTTACTTTCTTCACGTTGTTTATTTATACTATCAGCTTTCCTTTTCGCTATATCAATCTCACGTTTTTTTGCACGATTTTGTATAAGTGTAGTTGCTGGCGCTTCTAAACTAAGAACAATAATTAAATACAATGTGCGAAATCCGCAAAGCGTTACAAAATATATTACCTCTTTAAAAATTTATCCGACATATAATCCTCATCATCAGACATTTTACTGTGGTTATATTATAAAGCGAAAACGAAAAATTTTTCCCCAAGTATTATTCTCTTGGAATTGAAAGTTATTATTAATATTGCTATGCAATCAACTATCAGACGGTGTTGTTACTACTATAAATTCTTTAAGTAAATAAATATATATTTAAACCAAATATTCGTGGTAACATTCGCAAAATTTTTTCCATTGTTTTGTTTACACATTTTTTTAGTGGATTGTATATTTTGACACACGAACTGTCAAATTATTGGAAGACATTGTAAATGAAGTTGGCAGCACTAAACGTATATCCACCATGTGCTAATTTAAAAGTGAATCTACAAGTTTTACCAAGAAACTCTTATAAACAAATGGGAACTGTAAGTAATTAAATTAATTTTACAAACCTCATATAATGCAATATCTTTTACAGAAAAAAGTAAAAATCAGCTCCGTCAAACGTGCAGCGCACTTAAAGTCCAAGAAGACTCCGCTTTCAAAACAACAACAGCACAAATTAACGCAACAAAAAGCGGCTAAGGAGAAGTCTCAAAATATATTTTTGCAAAAAGCGCGTAAACGTGACAATTTGGCACAAAAAAGAAAACAAAATAAACGTGAATCGTTAGGTTTACATCCTTTAAATGGCAATAATGACGATGATGAAGATGATGAACAATTGTTGGAAAATGTTGCCGACATGTTGGAAGGAGAAGATTTGGAATTTTTGCAATTAAAAGGAGCAAATCGTCAACGGAAACGTAAACATGCCAGTACTGGTGAGGACCAAAAGATTGCCGTAGGTTTAGAGAAAGCGTATGCTAGTGAAAGTGTTAAGGAACTCGAAGCGAAAAAAGTTAAAATTAATTTATTACCTATTAAAAGTCGTGAAGGTGAAATTATTACTAGAACTACAGAAGTAGATTTGAAACCAAAAGTCGAAAAGCCCCCAAATGATGATATAAGTTCTCAGTATATCGTAGGAGAAGAAGACGAATCTGTTTATGAAGATAGTGACGATGATGTACTTAATGATGAATATGTTGCTAAACCGGCAGAAGTTAAGTTGATTTCCACTACAGATTTACTTATCGCGAGGCAGCAAGAAATCGAACGACAAAAATATCGTATTGGCATTATTTGTTCTGGTATTCTTGAGAAACCAGAAGATAAAATGCGTAATTTTAATGCACTCTATGAACTAATGGATGAAATGAATCCTGCGGGTGCGCAAAATTTGCTAACTGTACGTAAAGTAGCTGCCATATCGATAACAGAACTATTTAAAGACATATTGCCGGACTATCGGGTGGGTCAGGTTGATACCAAAATGCAAACAGGTACATGATGACTGCATACGTTTAAATGATTAAATTTTAATAACTTTACTTGTTACAGTTCGTAAGGCTACATTGGAACGCGTAAAGTTCGAAACAGCTTTGTTGCAACAATTCAAAAAATTTTTGCAAAAGTTAGAAAAGTTAACAGCTGCGGTCACTAAACGTGGTTACGGACGTAAAACTCCGCAAGCTATTAAAATGGCTGAAGTAGCTGTGCAATGTATGTGTGACATACTTACTGCACATCCATATTTCAATTATGTTAAAAACGTTGCACAGCTTCTAGTCTACATGTTAAACTCAAATTATGGCACTATGCGTGCTGCTGTTAATACCTGTTTTCGCACAGTTTTCGCCACCGACAAAAAATTGGACATGACGCTTTTCATTGTGCGACGGATTAACAATTTAATCAAAACTAAGAATCAGCTTGTACATTTAGATTGTGTCACATGCCTTCTCTCAATGCAATTAAAAAATGTTAATTTAGATGCCGAAAAGGAAAATGAGCTAAAACAGAAGAAATTGGAGGCGCATAGACAGCGTTTGATGAACCTCTCTAAGAAAGAACGGAAGCGACGAAAAAAACTTACCGAAGTAAATAAGGAATTGGAGGAAACGCGAGCCGAAGAAAACAAACAAACAAAACACTACAAACTGACCGAAATTGTGAAAATGGTTTTCACAATCTACTTCCGTATACTGAAGAACGATCCAACATCTAAATTATTAAGCGCTATTTTGGAGGGCTTGGCAGAGTAAGTTTACTTTAAAACAAAATATTTCAACCTATGATAATATTTCATACAATATCATTTAATCAAAACAGATTTGCGCACGTAATAAATTTAGAGTTTTTCGCTGATCTTATTGATGTGCTCAACAATATATTGGAAGAAATGGATTTAGGGTATCGTGAGCAACTACACTGCATACATACCATTTTTGTTATATTATCGGGACAAGGCGAAGTATTAAATATTGATCCCATAAGATTCTATCAGCATTTCTATAAAAATATGTTGGCAGTTAATGCTGGTAAAAATCATGCAGACTATGCAATTATATTGAACACTCTTGATGAGGTGCTCGTTAAACGACGTCGCAACATGAGTCAACAACGTTTAATGGCTTTTGTTAAACGATTACTGACTAGCAGTTTACATTTGTTGCACCACGGCACTTTGGCCACGTTAGGCACAATTAAAACTACATTCCAATTGACTTCGGTTTTGGATATTTTATTAGATACAGACACAATAACTGGTTCCGGGCAATATAATCCTGAACTTGATGATCCGGAATATTGTAATGCATCATGTACATCTTTATACGAATTAACAATGCTGACTAGGCATTATCATCCAACTGTGAGAAAAATGGCATTACATATTGCCAGTGGCGTGCCCGCTACTGGTGACGGATCGTTACCCACAGAAATTGGAAAGTTGTAAGTATTATATGATTTAATAATTTTAAATTAAGTTTAAATTAAAATAATTTTTTCTCCCTCTGTACTGTTTGAGTGTAAAACATAATTACAGTATAAGAGAATCGCTAAAACATTTCTTTATAAATATAACTTTTGTTTCTTTTTAAACTTTAATACATTGAAAAACTTGAGAACATTATTATATATTATTTAGCAGAATATTCAAAATACAAAAAGTTATTTTAAATATATAAATCTTTACAGAAATGCACACGAACTATATCAACAATTTGATAGTACTCAAATGGTTTTTAATCCCACCATTCCGGTACCTAAACCTGTCCAACCCAAGTTAAAGAAAGGCAAACATATGTTTACAAATGATGACTTCAAGCAATATTACAAGAGGATCTTGTTAGAGCAACAAAATAAAGATCTTGACAAGCGCAATAACTTCAATTTTTATGTTGATGTGATGAGTAATAAATAAACTTAATTCTCTATATGTAATATATAAAGTAATAAAATTATCAACAAATAAAATTATGTTAATTATTAAAATTTGTAACTTATATGATTTCTTTTTGTTATAACAAAGTATTTTATTAAGTCAAAAATTATATAGCAGGAAACATGAAAGCAATTACAAAATTTGCATGTATATGTTAGAAGATGGATAAGGTAGAGAGTAAGTGAGAAAAAGAATGATTGTTTTGGATGAGAAATGGATAAGAGATGAATTGGATTTAATTGAAATTAGCCTGGGTTTTTAGACAAAGACCCCTTACCACTTCAATATGTCGGTGCCAAAGATCCATACAGCTTAAATTGGTGAGTGGATTCAAACATCTGGACTCAAGGAGTGGTTGGGTGTACGTTATAGAGCTTCTCAATAATTACAATTACTAATCACAACTTTCAACTATGCTAGACTATACTAGCAGATATAGTATAGATATGCTTTGACATAAGACCTAGTCACAAGTCATCCTTGTCTTATTAAAAAAAAATAACTTCAAAAAAAAAAAAAACCTTCAAAAGTTTACATAAATATTAGCTGACCTGACCCTGATCTTAATTACGAACAGTTAAAGTGCTTGCTTATTTGCTCTTCAGGAAGCAGTGCAAATGAAACTCAGGTTCCAGGATTCAGAAATATATTAACTTGTTTCTACAATATATGGTATTTGCCTTTGAGAGAGCAATTCAAATGTTTTCTGATTCCATATATTTTGCATTATTCATTGATTATTCTTTAGTCTTTGACTATATGTCATGATAATTAATTTTATGAAAATCAAATCTACATTTATTTTGTAACCCACTTGGAGTCCACATTTATATATCTATTGAATATCTGATAGAGCGGCTGTTATAATTAGATAAATAAACAAGTCGAAAAAATATTGTAATAGAAGCCCTACAAAAATAAGTCTTCCCCTCTTCACCCTCTTTACAGATTACCTAGAAGACGATTCCTTTATGCATTTTGCAGCTTATCTAGAAGAAAATCTTTGGAGAGATAACCTCTTCGGAAATAATTATTAGCTGCTTTAATTCTTTGCGAATGATCTGATCGCTTTAGTAGTACCTTCCTTAGTTTTTTTTATCTTAAATCAAATTGTATTTCCTATTCCATCTTATTGTGCAATGACTCGTCATCCTTTTAGAACAATAACAAGCATAACTGAAAATGTTAGCATTCAAAATTTGTATGTATAATCAAAAGAAATGAATTAGTACATGTAATTCAAGACAGATTTTCGAAGAGAAATACTTAGTCCTCTACGGTAATATTAGGAATTCTCCTGATGAAGGCAAAAGCGAATTTGCCGAAACACGTGTAGAGATACACAAAAAAAAAAACTTTCGAAATAAAAGTTAATATATTTTTAAAAAACAAAAAATTACCGCATTTAAACATTTTCGAAGTAACGACTCAAAAATTAAAACAAAAAATAGTATTTAAAATCTTTAAGTTAATTTTGAGGATGTATTTGAATAATATTACATTAAATATATCAGCTTCCTAAAGTTGATTTAATTGCACCAATCTGTCGTCAAAGTTAATAGAGAATACCATTGAGTCTTTGAATTTGGCGATTAAATAAGTAGACTAAGTATGTACCATATATGAGAAGCATCCTTTTCTTAGGACTTGCAAATGGAAACAAGCTAGAAAGTCTCATATTTAACTAATTATTAAATTAATAAACCTTTTCGCGTATTACCTCCGTACGTTAATTATTTGAATAAACATCCAATAAGAGTATAAGAGTCCATAATTAGGAATGCAACTTTTAAATGATTAAATTTGAATAATATATAGTAAATATTAAAATATTTTAACTATAATCATATTTAACTAGTTATTCTATTAAGATTATAGTTTGTTATTGTTAAAGATGAATAATATAAAGTGATAATATTAAAGTGATTTGTGTTCAGCTTATAAACTAAATTTTTTTTGTAATTATTTTAAATATATTTTTTTTTTTGTTAAGTAGCGGCAAACGGGACAACGATTGAGTAAAGAAAACAATATTAGCTATTCCCGTTTATTTTGTCTTTTTCGTTTACATAAAAAACACAAAACACTAGTGTTGTGGAACGACTTCGGATGTGGATCAGTATAAAATTGTTGCTTAAAGCAGAATGTGCCGTGGTTTCCTAAGCAAAGGATTTAGTTTAATGTAAATAAATTAATTCAAATCTTATTTGTTTTTATATAAAAAAATAATTAAAAATGCAATCAATTGCTTCGAAAACATTTTTCTTTAATTCAAAATAATAATCGGTATGCTTAAAATGTATTAGATGTAAAATAATATCGTTAAAGTTTTTTAATACGTTTTTTTACCGTATATTAAATTTTTTTTTATCTTAATTTTAAATTATTAAATAATTAATGCGTACTTGTGTTGTGATATTTATTTAAAATGAGTTTTTTCAATTAATGATTATATAGTCATTGATCCAAGTGCAAACATATTCGGTTATTTATATTGTGTAAAACGTATTTTCTTAAATCGGTAAGTAATGTATTATTTACTAAACTGAAATTGGACGAAAAAAAAAATTGGACGTTTTGTAAACGGTTTCGGTAAAAAAATCATTAACATTCTTAAGTCTAAATACGACTTTTTCCGTTATCAATTCATGCAATACACAAGGTAAAATACCGTATGTTATGATAAAATTTATTTTTTATGCAATTTTTTTTGTTTGTTGTTTTTTCTTCTATAATTAAAAGCACCATTTATTGCTATAATTTATGCATATAACATCTTACCATCAAACATTTATTCAAACTCAATTATTTTTTATCATGTATAAGTAATTTTAGTTTATTAGTTGTAAATCAAAATTGAATATACATACATATTCCTATATATGTACATACTTATTGAATTCCATAAATATGAACTTAAATCTAAAATATGTTCTAAAGAAAGGTGCTAAATAAAAAATTAATTTTTTTTTAGGAATAGTTTTTCTTATTTTCTCGCTAAATGTACCATTTGATGTATTGTTGAAAACAGAATCAGCACGATACTAAGCACTGCAGTGACAGTGTTATTTTTAGGGTTTAATTAGTTGAAGATAACTGATTTTATATTCAATCAATATTTTCATATACTCTAACATACCAATCAGTATCAAAATTATACTATTGCTTCATTTTATTTTTCGCGTTCTATCACTCCAATTTTATTATTCTTACTCAATGCTTGAGAAATTACTTATAATGGCAAGTGCAAAGTATCGAGATATATTCAAATTTAACTCAACTATGTATCTGATTTTTGAATTTAAATATTTTTCTTTATTTTTTAATAAATTTCATTATTTTATCATCAATTTCTATTATTGCGAACAAAAGCAATATCAACTCACAGAACATTTCTTTATAATTTTTACAAGCAAGAATTGAAGAAGTGTTTCAAATCAAGTTTGGTCTAACATTATATATATATGTATTGAATCTTTTAACTTCTAGAAGGATCTTAGTCTCTTACCAATGGTCTAACATTGGTAATGTAAAATATATGAAAATTTAACATTATTTTATCCTGCTGCTATCAATCTCATAGTCAGAAACATTTATATTATTTAGAAATAAAAATTGACAATTCTTTAAAGTTCAACCTGGTAAAATTGTACTTTTGGAACTGTTTTGTAAAAATATCTAGAAAGCGAACATCTATTATGACTTCTATTCTTTTGAATTAGAAAAACACGCTACAGGGCACCCATTGTGCTATAATTTGTTTTAGTAGTTTATGAGTTAATTTTTACAGAAAAATCTATTATTTAAACAAAATACATTATATCGATAAGTACTAGCACAAAGTCTCTAATATGTGATAAAATATATAAGTGTATTTGTAAACTAATATTTTTATTTTATTTTATTATGATGTCATCCCATATATGGGTATCTAATATGTTGCCACTTAATACAGGTTCAGAATTCACTCCGTTTGATTTTAATGAAATTTTAATTGAATATACAATTGTATACTATTCTGTTTGGTCAATAAAATAGTAACCAATAAAGTTAATATGGGACTCAAAAGACATCTGTAATTGTATTCCGTATTGCAATATATTAGAACTATCAATGTCTAAAGCTTTTTTTATAAATGTAGGGTTGTTTCTAAAAGTTACCTGATCTTATTTTATTTTATTGTATACGGCTACATGTGAAACTACATGTGCTACAGTTTTTCTTTTCAACGGCTACTGGTTTTTAGATGAGAGTCCATGGAAGTAAATCTAGAACTTGCAAAGTTAAATTATAAATCATAGCATTGTAAAGGAGTAAAACATAGTAATGAACCAATTGCAAATTGATAGCTTTAATTTAATTTGTTGACTTACTGAGTAAATTATTAATTACATTTTGTATTTTTAAGAAAAAAAATTATAAACAAGTTTAGTAAATTATTTCATATTTTATATTATTTGTGATAATAAAAAAATTTTATATGGTCGAAAATTTGACCTTACCAATTAGGACGATTTAAGTTATCCTCGGTTATCTACTATCTATTAAATATAATTTTCAATCATGAAAACTATTAAAAATTTTAACATTTGTTATTGTTAGTTTTGGGAAGTTTGCCTTTAAATGAGAAGGTAACTTTATGTGTCAAAACATACAATATTTTGTTAACCAAATGCTCGATTACTAGCGCAGATTGCTCGTCCATTAAAACCATGAAATAAGTTTCAAATTTTTCAGAGTTTACTACGTGAGTTATGAGGAGCCACAGTTCAGTAAATAATTTTGGTTCGTGCGCTTGTAGTTGTGGTAAAAGCATGTCTGGATTGCGTAATACACCTTTGAAGTGAATTCCATAGCAGCTTAAATCATTAAAACAGGGCTGTAAAGTAAGTGTTAAGTTTTCGAACATTGGTCGAGTGGTCAATGCTTCAAGACAATTTTCTAGGCATTCATAAGCGTACCTATTTTCACAAGCAATATTAATTGTTTTATTATTGCGCATTATA